TAGGGTCACTTGGAGTCAGAACTGACTTGATGGTACCTGGTGTGGTGCTGTGGGCTAATGCGTCTGACTACAAAGTCATTTGAACTGCAAGGTTGGTGGTTCAAGCTTACCAGCTGCTCCTTGGAAACCCTACACAAGGTCACTATGTGTTGGAATTGACTCAATGGCGCTTAACAACAACACCAGCAACAAGTGAGCTCTGAATAAAAACAAAACAAACTGAAAGCAAAGTCATTCTGCTCAAGTTGAGAATGCACATATTCAAAATGTGCATATATATGTTGCTTTTAGGTGCTGTCAGATTGGTTTTGACCATTACAACCCTGTGTACAACAGAATGAAGCACTGCTTGGTCCTGTGCTGTACTCACAGTTGTAGTTCTGTTTGAGCCCATTGTAGAAGCCACTATATCAGTCCATCTCATTCACTGCCCATTGCTTTCTTCTGACTCTATACTTTATTTACCTGGAGCTCTGGTAGCATAGTGGTTACGAATCAGGCTGCTAACCTCAAGGTCGGCAGTTTGAAACTACCAGCTTTTCTGTGGGAAAAAGATGAGGCTTCTGCTCCCATAAAGATTTGCAGCCTCGGAAACCCTGTGCAGGGTCTCTATGAGTTGGAACTGACTCCACGGTACTTAACAATAACAAAAACTTTACCAGGAATGAGCTTTTGTGGCATAGTGGTGTGCTTACGAATTGGGCTGCTAATCTCACAGTCAGCAGTTCAGAACTACCAGCTGTTCCATGGGGGGAAGATGAGACTTTCTGCTTCTGTAAAAATTTACAGCCTCAGAAACCCTGGACAGTGTCGCTATGAGTCGGAACCAACTCCACAGCACATAACAACAACAACAACAGTTTTACCAGGAGTCCTGGTGTGGTAGCTTTAGGATAATCACTCGACCTCAAGACCAGTTTGAATTGCAAGTCTGACAGTTGGAAACAACTTAATGGCACCTAACAACAATAAGAGGAGAATATTGAAAGTGCACTTTTGGAAGAATTGCAGCCAGAGTGCTCCTTGGAGGCCAAGATGACCGAACTTTGTCTCTCATGCTTCAGACATGTTGTCAGGAGGGACCACTCTCTGGAGAAGGATATTATGTTTGGTAAGTTGGAGAGTCAGAGAAAAAGAGGAAGACCTCCAACGAGATGGATTGTCCAAGTGACAGCATTGATGGACTCAAGTGTGACAACAATAGTGAGGTTGGCCCAGGATCATGCAGTGTTTTGTTTTGCTGTGCATAAGATCACTATGGGTCGGTTCTAACTCGATGGTACCTAACAACAACAACAACAACAACAATGTTACCAAGCATAATGTCCTTTCCCAGAGACTTGATCCTTCTTGGTAACGCATTCAAAGTACTTGGAATGGAGTTTCATTACCCTTGCTTCCAAGGGACATTCTGATTGCATCTCTTCTGAGACAGATTTATTTGTTTTTCTGGCAGTACATGGTATTTTCAACATTCTTTGTCAACACCATAATGCATTAATTCTTCTCCTGTCTTCTTCGTTGTCTACTTTTATATGCACTTAAGGTGATTGAAAAGATTATGGCTTAGGCTAGGTATACCTTAGTCCTCAAAGTAACATCTTTGCTCTTCAACACTCTAAAGAGGTTTATTTTGCAGCACATTTGCCCAATACAGTATCTTTTAATTTCTAGACTTAAACATCCATAAATGTTGATTATGGTAATGGTGGTATGCCGGGGAGTTGGTTCCCACTCATAGCGACCCTATGCAGGGTTTCCAAGGCTGTAAATCTTTACAAGAGCAGAAAGACTCATCTTTCTCCTGTGGAACGACTGGTAGTTTCAAACTGCAGACTTTGAAGTTAGTAGTCCGACTCATAACCACTATGCTACCACAGCTCCTTATGGTAGTGGTGGTGGCTGTGTGCTGTGGAGTCACTTCCAATTCATGATGACCCTGTACAGGGTTTCTGAGGCTGTAAATCTTTACGGCAGCAGAACGCCTCATCTTTCTCCCACGGAACAGCTGGTAGTTTCGAACTGCTGACCTTGCGGTTTGCAGCCCAATTTGTAACCACTACGCTAGCAGAGCTTATTAGAGCTCCTTATAGGTCCAGGTTAAATGAAATCCTTAATGACATTAATATTTTTTTTCAATTTTTCATATATTTTGGTGTAGTTATGAGGATTGATTTTTGCTTTACACTCAGTTGCAATCCATACTAAAGGCTCCTGTCTCTCTCTGTATATTTAATGTTACAGGTGGCAGTGGGATTTAGTTTAACAGGAGCAATAATCCTTAGAAAACCTAGAAAATTGTGTAACACAAGGAACAGAACTGTAAGGCATAATAGAAAGAATGAGTATAAAGTATATTGGAACCTTTTGATGTTGTATTTTCAGCAAAAGTGTATGTCATGCTCCATCAAAGAAGTCCACATGTGTTGTGTGCAACCCAACAACTGCGAAACGCTGAACTGGTAGATCCATCATACCTGTGGCATGGACCAAGAGGTAAAATTATCTCAGGTAGGATTTTGTTTCAATTGTCATACTTAAGTAGATATCTCTCAGATATATTAAGGACAAAAAAAAAAAATGTTGCTTGTATATACTTATCCATTTCTTCAGTTTATTATTTTCTACACTTTCTTACTTCAGTTAGAATTTAGCAGTGCAGCTGGTTTTACCCTTTCCCCACATATTTTAATTAAAACTAAAGACACTGTAGAAGGATGAGCTATTTGCACTATTCAGTACACATGTGTATTAAAATAAAATGAAATAAAAATAATTTTGTTTAAATTTAAAAAACATCATTAGACTTTTGCTAACAAGATATGAAGAAATAAATGTAATTCTGACTTTTATAAAAGCTATGAATGAGCAGTTTGAACTGTGGATTTGTAAATATGGGTTTACATGCTTTATGTAGTCCCACATAGTAAACAATTTGGTACTTTATTAGTTGTTATTATTTTATAAGGAGCCCGGATGGCACAGTGGATCAAGTATTAGGCTCATAACTTCAAGGCTGGAGGTTCAAAGCCATTAGCCATGCTTTGGGAGAAAGGTGAAGCTGTCCAGTTAAAGAAAACCTTATAAACAGTTCTACTCTGTACTACTCTATGGTGGTAGCTTTATAATTTTGTGTGTTTTAATTTATATTTTTTGTGTAAACCTTGTGTAGGGTTTTTGGAGTCCTGGTGTGGCACTGTGGGTTAATGAGCTGGACTGCAAGGTCTGTTTGAACTGTAAGGTGAGTGGTTAAGCTCACCTGAAGCTTCCTCAGAAACCCCATACTGGGTTGCTGTAAGTCAGAATTGACTCACTGGCACTTAGCAACAACTAGGATTTCTGAGATTGCAAATCTTTGTGGAAGCTGAAAGCCTCATATTTCTCACATGTGCTCCCAGTTCAGTGCTTATCCTAGTGAACCACCATGTTCCCCTATACATATAAATATACACAATTTAATTTTGAATCCTTTAGGAACAATGTTTTACTCACTATTGTAATAAAAACATGCTTAGAGTGCTATTATTTCTACAGCTGGACAAAATAATCATCATAATATAATGGTTTTTACATTTAGAAAACCTGTTCCCAAGAAATACTGGTATTCTGCCATCATAATTTTATTTGTTTGCAGTGTATTATCGCATCATAATTCACTATTGCTGGTTTTATAGCTCCTCAACCACATTCTTGTTATTATTTCAGAAATCATTAGACCATGTTAACTAATTTTCTTAAAGTATGCAAAGACAGAGAAACTCCTTTAGACTCTAGATTAAACCACACTGTACTGAAGTTATAAATTTTGAATTTTCCAAATATGTATTTCCATTAAAATGATCCAAAGAAATCATGCTATTATGTAATTGCTTGTACATTTCTCTGGGGAAAAATATTTAGATTGTTAGAGTGTGTTGTAGAGTCCCAGGATGAATTTTAGATTTGATTTACCTTTCTATTTTTTTCTCTTTCATTTTCAGTATTTTATATTTCCTATAGCATTAATAACAATGATTCATGTACTTTTCACTCTAAAAGAACATGTTATTTAAAGAAGGCATTTTTAAATTAGTTAAGCTGTTCATGGCAACTAGTTTTACCTCTGAAACTAATGCCCCAAAGTAGTCTTTAAACTTTATGCTAAAAATATTCCTTGAAGTCTTTTTAAAACCAAACCATTATTTAGTGTAACTAGGAAAAAAATGAATTCACTTTTTGATGTGTGGCTTTTCCACTTTTCAAAAAATGTTCTTGTAAACATAGATTGACATAAAACATACAAGTTGGCCTTTCTTCTATAACCCACTTATTTTTTAAGAATAAGTGATTATGGATTAGATTAGATTTTACTGTGGTTTATCATTTTAATTATGAATCATCTGTACTTTGTATACATGGTTGTTGTTGGTAGTTGTGTGCCAATGAGTTGGTTCTGATACACAGCGACCCTGTATAATATTTCTAAGACTGAAAATCCTATGGGAGCAAGACTCATTTTTTTCCCAGGGAGCAACTAATAGATTTCATACTGCTGACCTTGTAGTTAGCTGCCCAGCACTCTCTTGCTCTCTTTCTATTTATCTATCTATGTGGAGTCAGTTCTAACTCACAGTGACCTGTATAGGGTTTCCAAGGCTGCA